TGTGGTTTCTGACCTCAAAAACCATATCATCTAATTCAAGCAAATGGCCAGCACTCATAAAACAAGCTGAGATATTGACAGTGATTCCCAGAGAAGCCATGGTTGTGTGATACACAGAAAAAAATGTTGAAAATATTTAGAGAGAAGTTTTAAGAAGGTTAGAGGAGATGAAAGGTATACATCCCTTCTGTTTTCTTTCTTCCTTTCTTCCTTTCTTCCTTCCTTCCTTCCTTCCTTCCTTCCTTCCTTCCTTCCTTCCTTCCTTCCTTCCTTCTTTCCTTCCTTCCTTTCTTTCTTTCTTTCTTTCTTTCTTTCTTTCTTTCTTTCTTTCTTTCTTTCTTTCTTTTCTTTCTTTCTTTCTTTCTTTCTTTCTTTCTTCTTTCTTTCTTTCTTTCCTACCTGAAGACCTGAGAATAAAAGGATTAATAAATAATAATCATTCCCTCATAGAGCCCTCTGCCTATCGGGAAGGAAAAAATGCAGTAAGCAGAGGAAGGGTAGCAGAAACAGTTCTTGGAGATAGTGAGACTTAAAAGAGTTACTGTTTGGATTGATGGAAAAGAAGGAAGAAGCTCTTCTAAGCGTAAAAAGCAGATGGAAATATTAGTTTCTCTGAGCTCTCCTCCATGTCCCCAGTGTTCATCAATGAGCAGGGGCTCAGAAAATGTATGTTAAGCTACTTAGGGGCCTGTTGCTAGGATAGCAAGATAACTGATGCGGATGAAGTTTTTGTTTTGAAGGCTAATGAGAAACAAAGGGAATTTTCTAGGTTCACTCAAGTAGAGAGGTGACTCTAGGTTGAGAGAAGAATGAAGACCAGCCTGCTTTTGAAGACCAGAGGAGTGATGATGTGAGCATTGTGACCGATGAAGATAGATGTGGCGCTCAGCCATAGACCAGCTTGTGTGGTGGCTGATAGATAGGTCTCGGTCCAAATCAGGGGAATGTGGACAGGCCAGTGCTAGAGAAACACTGGCTGGTTATCTGAGTCCACCATGTGACTAGGGGCTGAATTTCAGGATGAGGCCAGCAGTGTGGATATTGGAAAGGAAGGTCAGGGATTTTTACATATGTAGATAGGTGATGATAAGCAGGATGATCAAAAGGAAACAAAGGTTGGGACATCTCACTTAATTCTGATGGGTGTCACATGTGTGGCTATTTTTAGTGGACATGCTATATGTGTGTGCAGGCATGTGTATCACATAGCTTTGACCATACATGTGCTAGTTTGTGCCATAGAGTATTTTAAGTGCAAATCCTTTCATCTAACCATCTTGGTAAACATAAGATCAGAGAAAAGAGCTATCAAGCTATTGAAAGAACGAAAGTTTGTAATGTTGAGCTAGGCCAGTTTTGTACAAATTACACTCAATCAAAGATAAACTGAAGCTTCTTTCTAAAGATGGCAATTGGCTTTGTTAATCCACTGGCCAGTCCTAACAAAGTCCTTGGAATTGGTAATGACAAGTGGGAAATGGTGCAACAAGACATAGATACAAGAGGGCTACTTTGGCCCTCCATATCAGCGCTGGTTTAGTCTTCACATTGTTGCTGATCAAAAAAGTTGATCAATTAATGAGCAAAACAAACAAATGCACAAAATAGAACCAGAGGCATGGAAACAAGGAACAAACGGACAAGGACCAGAGGGGACGGATAAGGGAGGAAACATGGGGGAGGGCCTAGTTAAAGAACAAGAATGAGTGACCCAGGGACAGAGACAACAGGGTGGGGATTGACGGTGTCGGGGGTGGGGAGCAGTGCATGGGGGTGAGCAACAGGAGGAAATTTGAAAAACTAACAGAACAAAATTTTTTTAAAAATGTTGCTCAGTTAAACAATGCTGAGCTTTTTATTAAAAATTTGACTATTGATCCAAACAGTCAAGATTTCTCTCGATGCTACCAAGACCATAAATGTGTGGCATGCTGAGGAAGCGCCATGGCGCCTGCCCTCACGGCTCGCTCGCCAGGTGTGATGTCCCCCTGACTGCTCACTGCTACCTCCATCAGATTTTTGCATCTATGGCCACTGAGCTTGACCTTCATTTGAGCTTAGGTTGTAACCCAGCCATAAATAAGAACCGAGATCAGCACCTGACTCAGAATGGAGTAAATGTTACTGCTAGTTTCCCCGCTGACTTGGAGCCCTCATTGCCAAGAAAAAGATTAAAGCTACTTCACCTCTAAGAAGTTGGGTGTCTGAAGGCTCCATGAAGGTCAAGGACACCAGTTAGGCTCCACTTAAGAAAGATTAGTCTTTTAACCTATCAGTTTCCCATTATTTCCTTCATACAACAGGAGGCCTAGCAGAATAGTGGCTGCTGTTTTCAGAGGAAAAGGCCCAGCAATCTGTTTTTCTGACAGGTTGTTGCTGTGGTTTATTGTTTTGTCTTGATTCTGAATATTTCTTGTGGCTGAGGAGCTAAACAGGATCCAGAGGCTGTTCCCTGGCCAGAGAGGGGCAGGCTTAGTAGCACTAGGTGTACCATTGTCCAACCTTATGTTTCCATGGTCTTCTCCCTCCCGACCAACCCTTCCTCTTCATGGGACCAGTCTGAAATAGGTGTGCAATCTTAGGGAAGAAAGTGGAGGCCCCAGCCATATCAGCAATCTAAGCAAAGCGAATTTCCTTCATGAGCCAACCTGGTGAGTGATAATCATCAGAGCAAGAATTTATTTTCACTGGTTATTTTCCTTTGTGTGTATGTTTTTACAGAGACATCACAAACAGCGGAGAGCAGTCAGACATTCAAGGCTCCTGTCAAGAACATTGCCCACCCATTTTTAGCTCCCCAGTTCCAAAATAATTACCTGGCTCCCCAGTCTCCCAGGAATTGAATTATCATCTTTCTCCCTTGTAATCCATGCCCTGTTTCATATCCCAGTCACATGAATGGACTTGGAGCCTTGATACTGACGCTGCCTTTTATTAATATTGGCCACTAATGTCCCATGATCCAAGCTGACTGACCCTTTCGCCAAGTGATTGCCCCTGCATTCCTGCTTATGTGACACTCTTTGTTTCAGTCTTACGCATATGCGTGACCAGCCTGTCCTTTTTGTAGAGTCATAGTCCAGAACCTGCCCTTGGGCTCATTTTTCAATCTTAGATAACTGAAGCTGAATCTTGCTCCTGTAAGGTGACACAGGCCTCTACCTGACACTTCCTGGGCTCCCTCTCCTGACTTCCCTCTATCTAGCTGGTCCCCAAGTTCTGGTCATTTCACAAAGATGGATTCTCCCTGGGTACCACAATTTTGTGGGAAATCATGGGCAAAGAATCAAGTCTTCGGAGTCAAGTGGAATTTATAGTCCAGTTGTACCATTTTAATGTTGAATGTTATTCAATGTCTCTTACCTGATGTCTCTTTAGATCTAAAATGAAACTTATTTGATGGTGTTTGAGGTTAAATTAGCTTATGCTCATATACCAGGTGATATAAGTAGCAGCCCTCAATGTATCTCTGAGTTGGAATTATGCCTCTCTTCCTCCTTTCTTTGTCCCCTCCCTCTGTGCCTTTCTTCCAGGCCCCGTGCAATATATTAAGGACACAGCTCCCAAATAATTCATAGACTGGTATTAGAGACAGAAGTGCAAATAAAATCAGTAACTTTAATCAGATTTGTAGATGCCATAAAAGAAAAGAAAGCTTGACCAGCAAAGCTCAGAGTTCTCCCACAATCAACTAGATGGGATTTCCTCCCCAGAGAGTAAAGAATAGAACTAGTCTACTTAGGGTGTGCTGTTGAGTGTGGCTTCACTAAAGTATCTGATTATGCATGAACTATGTATTAGTATTGCATAATTTCTCATCCCCAACAAACACCTGCCAGCTCATGTGTCCTCTAAGCATTTGGTGATTTAAATGTTTTCCTGCAGTTTGCCATATAACCCCTTAGTATGTGGTTGCTGGCCTTGGTCAATAAACATGCTTCACTCTCTTCCTCATGCCAATGAAGATCGCTCTAGTGGCTGCCAAGGCTACTTTTCCTATCAATGAAATCCTATAACTCAAGGTGTGAGTAAAGAAAGAAGAGTAACATATAGGTTATAGGATGTAAAATTATCTTTTTAAATAACTTTCTGGGCAGGCTTTTCAGAGATGTGATTAAAATCAATTGATCCATCCCTTGTATCACTTTACATAAGAAAGGTGGCATGCAATACTGCTTTTTTTTTTTTTTTTTGATTAAAGTGAAAAGTTCCTCTCAACATGAGCAACAGGAAGAGAGCTGAAAATTTATGACATCTACAAGCTAATCTGGAAAATTAAGAGCAATCCTCTCTCTCTTTTTCCCTCCATAGCAGAGTTTATTCCCATCACCTGGAGACTATACCTTAGGAACTTCCGCTTCTTAGAATAGTCAAATTTATAGAGACAGGAAGTAGAATGATGGTTGCCAGGGGCCGAGGGAGGGAAGAATGAGTTCATGTTTAAAGGGTACAAAGTTTTAACGGGGGAGTGAAAAAGTTTTGTAGTTAAATGACGGCGACAGTCACACAACAACAGGAATGTGCTTAGTACCACTGACTGTCCACTTAAAACTCTTAACATGGTGCGCTTTATATATATATATGCTGTCAGACTTTAAAAGACAAGAAATTTTAATGGAATTGGTGGACATAATTTAAAAATATTGGTCTTTTCTTTCTTACCAAGTATTGATAAGGAAAATAGATATATCCAGTTTAAACTTTCAGACTTCGATCTCGGTTATGGGTTAATATTGTAGGGTAGTTTGTCATTGCTTTATGACAGAGGAAAATAATCAACTAAATGAAGAGATGTATCGCACTTAAATTTTGCTTTATTAAGAGAAAATGGATTTCTCATATATCCATAGTTTGGCCAAATTGATGGGAATATGAGAGCTAGTCACTCAGTCTGCATTCTAATGATTGCTCCTCTACTTCTCTAAAATGGATTCAGCAGATTTTGCCTTATCTTGTTCCTTTGCCATAAAAATGTGTATTGATACTTACGCTCTTTTCAGGATAGGGTGTGGGCCAACATGGGGAAGAGCCTGAACTGCATTATTGCCATGGTGGATAAGCTCATCGGAAGGGACAGCGGGAGTGAAGGCAGCGGTGGCAGCAAGGACGGGGAACAGGACCCTTCGGTTGTGGACTCCATTGTAACTCACCCAGGGGGTAAGGAATCCTTTTCTCCGACTGTTGACTGAGGAAACACAATGAGGATGTCATGATAAGACAAGATAGAAAGAGAGGAGTCAGTAGTGCCTTTGATGAAAGTGCTGATAGCGCGCTTTCCGCGCTGGCTTGGATGATGGAAGGCTATTTATCAAATTGCATCTCCCTTGCGTTGTCAGCACTGCTTGAAAAGCTCATTTTTTTTTTCTTTTGCTACGTAACACCCTTCTTGAAAGAAGAACAGTGTTTTCTTTTAAAGAATCTGACATAGTTTAATCTACTTTTATGCATTCCTCCAAAATTGTATTAGGAAGGAAAACAAGCATCTGGTCTTAAATCTCTTAGAAGCTTTGATGATATCAAGATACAACATCTCATAATGGGTCCTGAAAAGAATGCAGTTAGGATAGGTAAAATGCTTTTTGCCATGTTCTGAGGAATATTTTTTGTGAATTATTTTAAAAGGCTATAGCAAGGTTTGATGCCATATAAGAACAGTGTGTTTGGGCCTGACCAGTGTGGCTCAGTGGGTTGGATGTCATTGTGCAAAGTGAGAGGTCGCTGGTTCAATTCCCCGTCAGGGCACAGGGCTGGGTTGTGCATTCAGTCCCCTGTCAGTGTGCCAGTGAGAGGCAGCCCATCAGTGTTTCTCTCCCTCTTCCCCCTTCCCTTCCCTTCTCTCTAAAAATAAATACAATCTTAATTAAAAAAGAATAATACGTTTGTGCATTATTCCAAAGATATATTAGTAAGTCTAGATTTTCATGGATACATGTACACACTCATAGACACACACACATATATATGCATACGCATGTGGGGATATGTGTATGTGTATTGATAGACAGGCATATAGATAAATAATTGAAATGTATGGCTTAATGCAGTTGACCAGCAAATGTGAGCATCAAAATTTAACTGTGCTTATGTCCCTATAAATGTCGGGGGGTTTTTGGCTGTTAAAATCTGTTTGTCGATTTGATTAATTTTGACAACAAAACCAAGACAAACATCTTTTTTTTAAAAAATGGTGGTGAGAGTTTCCACGAGAGTGGCCCCAGGCCTTTTGCTGTGTCTCCTAAGGGTTTGGAGAGAAGAAACAGTGTCGCCCTACCCGCTTCTTCTGCAGGCTGCTTTTCCTTTTACATTAAGAAAATAAGGTCTAAGAAAATGTGGATGCTTATAAAGTTAAATTCATGTGTTTCCAGTTTGTTTTCCTGATTTTTCATTATGCACATTTTCATCAGGAGTTTAATTATGGGGAACAACAATCTTTTATCAGGTGCTTAACAGTAGAACCATTTCTAAACCATGTTGGAATCTGTGGATTTCTGAAGTTCTTCCTATTGCGTGGCCCTCATCCCCTATGGTGCACTCACGTAGGTGGAGTGTTTGCGCTCACGTTCTCTATGTTCACACCTACTTGGTCTCTCTTTGGGGATTTTCTTTTTTAATAATATGGTTGTTCTTAGTTAATGAATCTAGTCCAGCTTCATAACTTTACAGGTATCGAAGGGTGTATTTTCCCTGCCCCGTCCCTCGGTTCAGCCATTTCCGAGGAACCCTGGAGTCACGTGTTGGAAACTAGCATTTAGAAACCAACATTTAGGTGGATGGGAACATTGTGATGTTTCTTTTTAATGGCAGGTATTCTTACCGCCAGTATCTTCAAGCACCCTTTTAACTACATTCTCCCCGGCCATTCATATTTTCACTGATTTCATACTACTTTGGGTGAAATCTATCATTTTGTAATTTCTGGTTATTTGTGAAGTTTGACATTATATAACTTAATACTTGGTTTCAACATATAGACAGCGAGGAGGCTAAGAGCAGTATAGGAAATGGAAAAGCCACAGAGCTTACTGTGCAATCCATGGACGTGAATGAAGCTGGAGGGACTGCAGGAGGGTGTGGGGGGGGTGCAGGGCGGAGGGGGGGCAAGGGGAGAAAAAATTGGGGCAACTGTGAGAGCATAGTCAATAACATATACTGTAAAAAAAGAAAACTCTAATAACTTAATGAAAACATTTCCTCAGAAAGAAAGTAAAAATGGTTAGTAGTTAAAAATTAAAAAAATATTGTTTATGATAATAAAATTGATTCCTCCAGTCGTCCCAAATTCATCTCCAGCCCATAGCTGCCATGGAAAAGCCACTTCATTCTTTTTTTTTTTTTTTACAATTAATTAATGAATTGAGTCCATGAATAATTTGCATTATCTGTAGTTTATTGGACTGTATGATGTGGTACATACTAACAGGCATTTGTTGCAACATCGTTTATTAGTGATTTGTTTCCCCATGTACGAGTTTTGTTTTTTTTCTTTATATATTAAGTTCAGTAAATATTTTCCACCAAGTTCTGGAGTTTTTATTCTGTTAATTTATATTTTATATTGGGATACATTTTGAAATCTCATAGGTTAAGTCAACCATTTGACAGTCAGTTTTTCTTTCTTAGCACCATCCTTTATCTATACATTTCAGCTGTAATTCATGTTTGCTTTGCTGGTGTATATCGCACACGGTTAAACAGATGGAATGCTGCTACCTTTATCCACGTTTTATGTTCCTCTCTTACCTGCAGACATTTTTCTTCACAAGTTGCAGACTTTCCTATGGTAGTGTATTTAATAATGTTTTTAATCTGTAGTTTTGAAGGTTGCTTGTTTTAGATCCAGGGTTTTACGATATATCTTCATACATTTCTCTTCAGGATTAATACAAATAGTGCTAAGAGCAATAAACATCCTCTACTGTTCTGAACACAAATAATAGAGTAACTGGTCCACATGTTTTTGGCTTATATGCATTTATATGTTTTCTTTTTGAACGAGTTTGTCCTTTTATTTTTTTATACGCCTAGACATATTTGGAAGCATGTACTATATGTGTAGCACCACATGGCTTCAATTTCATAAGAAGCTGATGACTCAGGAATAAAATCAGGAAATATTAGAATCAGAGATTTTGAAATGCCCTTAAAGATTCCTTAATTAAACCACATAAGTTATGCAGAGAAGCTTACCTACAGTATCTCTGCCTGTTCTCAGCTAAACTGTGACACACAACCCCACTGATAGAAAACCATTTTTATTTCTAGAATGGCAGACCCTAGCTGGTGATCGAAATACATTTCCTTTAGTTTTACCTACTGGCCCAGATCAAATCCTTTGCCTCAACAAATTTATTTCCCTTTTCCACATTATCACTTAACATATCTGAAAGCAATTGTCATATCCAGTTTTGAATTGCCCCTGTTTTGGTCATTTTCAAAGGAATAGCATGGAACGCAGAGTAACGTGGGATGACCACCCACCTCCTCACTTTTAGACACTATTCTGTTACTATCTTAGTTCACACTAGCCACTTGGACAGCCGCATTTTACTGCGAACTCCATTGACATCCATAGACCTTGCTAAATTTGACCTATTTTTCAGACTTCTCAAGATTCAAGTAACATTAAAGCACCCTGTATGTTAGAAATTGTGAAATATTAGGGGCACAAGGAGATTAAGACACAGTCTATCTCAATTCTACTGAAAAGATTGATGTCTAAACCCATGACTGTAGTATAATGCACTTTTGAGTACACTCTAATAAATACCTATTTCTTTCATCCATCACATCTATTGTCCTACCCAGGTTTATTTTATTCGCATTTTATAAATGCTTTCTGTCCATTCACAGAAGTAATGGATAAAAATGATGGGAAAACAGATAAATACAGATCCTTGAGGAACAACCTTAAAAAGAACTGTATGCATTGAAATGCACTTGCTAATCACTACTTTTTGGGAAGGTGTGGTCAACTATCTATTTATTTATCCATTCATCTTATTACATGTCCTGTTTTTCTCTGTCTTCACAAGAACATCAGGAAATGCTCTCTGGAAAGACCAAACATCCTACTTTGGTCTTTGAATATTTTTTTCTAACGTACCCAACTATAAGCCCTGACAAGAAATGCTTTGGCGGTTTTTCTCTTAATTCAAGTGTAGTTGGAGTATAATATTACATTAGTTTTAGGTGTAAGACATAATAATTCAATGCTGATATCCCTTATGATGTAGTCACCATGCTGAGTCTGAAAACCATCTGTCACCATATAAAGTTATTATAATATTAATTAACTATATTTCCTGTGTTGTATATTTCATTTTCATGGCTTATTTATTTTGTTTTGGCAGGTTTTCTTGACATTATTAAGTGAATAACTTCAATATTTGTGCATATGTATGCATACATACCTGCACGAAAATCATTACATTCCAGGACTTATACCCAACATTGGACAATTATTTTAGTGGTTTCATAACATATAACAAACCTGTTTTAATTTGTAAAGTGCAAAGATTCAAGCATAGAGCATCATTTTCATCAAATGCTTAATATATTAATATTTCTGAATTCCATGAATTTCTACACATAAATGTTTCAAGTTTTGTGAAAAAGAAACATGAACGAATCAGGCTTTTTAACACTCATAGGTCAGCAGGTGAAATAGTTTTTAAAGTATATTTACAAGTTAAAAAATAGTCAGGAGGATGTAAACAAAACACACCACAGCTACCTTCATTGTAAAATTAGAATTCCAATAATAATTTACATGATGACATTTTTCAATGTCTACTCTTATCAGGGAAATGTTTTCCTCAAAATTGTGCAGTGAGTTATGATGTAACAAAACAACACTTGACTCAGAGCCAGGATAACTTGGCAAGTCCACAATTTACTTATTTGGCTACATGACCTTTGGCAGACCACTTAAATTCTCTGGACCTCACTTTTGTTGGTAAAATAAATTTCATCTGCAAAAATTCAAAAGTGCTCCTAGTTATAAAGTTTTATGATAGTAAAGATGCTACATTATTTAAACTAACTTTTTCTTTCCTTTGTGTCATTCGACATATTTTAATTGAGCACCTACTATGTGTCAGGCTCTATTCCTGACTGGGGATACAACAATGAACACAGCAGTTAAAACACCTGTCCTC